AATTTAAACAAAATGAGAAGACAGAGGAACACACAGTAGATAAAGGATCAAGGTAACAACCCAGCAGACCAAACAAAAGGAGGAAGAGGAAATAGGCAGTCTACCTGAAATAGGCAGTCTACCTGAAATAGACAGTCTACCTGAAAAAGAATTCAGAGTAATGATAGTAAAGATGATGCAAAATCTTGGAAATAGAATGGAGAAAATACAAGAAATGTTTAACAAGGACCTAGAAGAACTAAAGAGCAAAGAAACAATGAGGAACAACACAATAAATGAAATTAAAAATTCTCTTGAAGGGTCAATAGCAGAATAACTGAGGCAGAAGAATGGATAAGTGACCTGGAAGATAAAATAGTGGAAATAACTACCGCAGAGCAGAATAAAGAATGGAAAGAATATGAGGACAGTCTCAGAGACTTCTGGGAAAATATTAAATGCACCAACATTCAAATTAAAGGGTTCCCAGAAAAGAAGAGAAAAAGAAAGGGAATGAGAAAATATTTGAAGAGCTTATACTTGAAAACTTCCCTTATGTGGGAAAGTAAATTGTCAATCAAGTTAAGGAAGAGCAGACAGTCCCATGTAGAATAAATCCAAGGAGAAACGTGCCAATACACATATAATCAAAGTATCATAAATTAAATACAAAGAAAAAATGTTAATAGCAGCAACGGAAAAACAATAAATAACATACAAGGGAATCCCCATAAGTTTAACAGCTGGTCTTTCTGCAGAAAATCTGCGAGACAGAATGGAGTGGCAGGACATATTTAAAGTGATGAAAGGGAACAACCTACAACCAAGATTACTCTACCCAGTAAGGACCTCATTCAGATTCACAGAAAACATAAAACTTTGCAGACAAGCAAAAGCTAAGAGAATTCAGCACCACCAAACCAACTTTACAACAAATGCTGAAGGAACTTCTCTAAGCAGGAAACACAAGACGAGGAAAAGACCTATGATAACAAACCCAAAACAATTAAGAAAATGATAATAGGAACATACATATCAATAATTACCTTAAATGTAAATGGATAAAATGCTCCTACCAAAAGACATAGACTGGCTGAATGGATACAAAAACAAGACCCGTATATATGCTGTCTACAACACACCCACACCTAGGGACACATTAAGATTAAAAGTAGGGGGATTGAAAAGGATATTGCATGCATAATGGAAATGAAAAGAAAGCTGGAGTAGCAATTCTCATATCAGACAAAATAGACTTTAAAAGAAAGACTATTATAAGAGACAAAGAAGGACACTACATAATGATCAAGGGATCAATCCAAGAAGAAGATATAACAATTGTAAATATTTATGCACCCAACAGAGGAGCACCTCAATACATAAGGCAGATGCTAGCAGCCATAAAAGGGGAAATCAGGGCTTCCCTGGTGGCACAGTGGTTGAGAGTCCACCTGCCGATGCAGGGGACACGGGTTCGTGCCTCGGTCCAGGAAGTTCCCACATGCCGTGGAGCAGCTGGGCCCATGAGCCATGGCCACTGAGCCTGCGCATACGGAGCCTGTGCTCCACAATGGGAGAGGCCACAAGAGTGAGAAGCCCGTGTACTGCAAAAAAAAAAAAAAAAAAGAATCCTCAACATAATAGTAGCAAAAAGAATCCAACAGCGCATTAAAAGGATCATACACCATGATCAAGTGGGGTCTATCCCAGGAATGCAAGGATTCTTCAGTATATGCAAATCAATCAATGTGATAAACCATATTAACAAACTGAAGGAGAAAAATCTTATGATCATCTCAATCGATGCAGAAAAAGCTTTTGACAAAATTCAACATGCATTTATGATAAAAAAAAAAAAACCTCCAGAAAGTAGGCATAGAGGGAACTTACCTCAACATAATAAAGGCCATATATGACAAACCCACAGCCAACATCATTCTCAATGGTGAAAAATTGAAACCATTTTCTCTAAGGTCAGGAACAAGGCAAGGTTGTCGACTCTAACCACTATTATTCATCAGAGTTTTGGAAGTTTTAGCCACAGCAATCAGAGAAGAAAAGGAAATAAAAGGAATCCAAATCGGAAAAGAAGAAATAAAGCTGTCACTGTTTGCATATGACATGAAACTATACAAGAGATTTCTAAAGATGCTATCAGAAAACTACTAGAGCTAGTCAATGAATATGGTAAAGTTGCAGGATACAAAATTAATGCACAGAAATCTCTTGCATTGCTATACACTAATGAAGAAAAATCTGAAAGAGATATTAAGGAAGCACTCCCATTTACCATTGCAATGAAAAGAATGAAATACCTAGGAATAAACCTACCTAATGAGACAAAAGACCTCTATGCACAAAACTGTAAGACACTGGTGAAAGATATTAAAGATGATACAAACAGATGGAGAGATATAAAATGTTGTTGGATTTGAGGAATCAACATTGTGAAAATGACTATACTACCCAAAGCAATCTACAGATTCAATGCAATCCCTATCAATCTACCAATGGCATTTTTCACAGAACTAGAACAAAAACTTTCACAATTTGTATGGAAACACAAAAGACCCCAAATAGCCAAAGCAATCTTGAGAAAGAAAAACGGAGCTGGAGGAATCAGGCTCCCTGACTTCAGACTATACTACAAAGCTACTGTAATCAAGACATTATGGTACAGGGACAAAAACAGAAATATAGATCAATGGATCAGGATAGAAAGTCCAGAGATAAACTCATGTACATATGGTCACTTAATTTTTGATAAAGGAGGCAAGAATATACAATGGAGAAAGGACAGCCTCTTCAATAAGTGGTGCTGGGAAATCGGGACAGCTACATGTAAAAGAACGAAATCAGAACACTCCCTAACACCATACACAAAAATAAACTCAAAATGGATTAAAGACCTAAATATAAGGCCAGACACTATAAAACTCTTAGAGGAAAACATAGGCAGAACACTCTAAGACATAAATTACAGCAAGATCCTTTTTGACCCACCTCCTAGAGAAATGGAAATAAAAACAAAAATAAACAAATGGGACCTAATGAAACTTAAAAGCTTTTGCATAGCAAAGGAAACCATAAACAAGACAAAAAGACAACCCTCAGAATGGGAGAAAATATTTGCAAATGAAGCAACTGACAAAGGATTAGTCTCCAAAATTTACAAGCAGCTCATGCAGCTCAATATCAAAAAAACAAACAACCCAATCCAAAAATGGGCAGGAGACCTAAAAAGACATTTCTCCAAAGAAGATATACAGACAGCCAACAAACACATGAAAGAATGCTCAACATCACTAATCATTAGAGGAATGCAAATCAAAACTACAAAGAGGTATCATCTCACACTGGTCAGAATGGCCATCCTCCAAAGATCTACAAACAATAAATGCTGGTCAAAGTGTGGAGAAAAGGGAACCTCTTTCACTGATGGTGGGAATGAAATTGATACTGGAGAACAGTATGGAGGTTCTTTAAGAAACTAAAAATAGAACTACCATATGACCCAGCAATCCCACTCCTGGGTGTATACCCTGAGAAAAGCATAATTCATAAAGAGTCATGGGGCTTCCCTGGTGGCACAGTGGTTGAGAGTCTGCCTGCCGATGCAGGGGACACGGATTCGTGCCCCAGTCTGGGAAGATCCCACATGCCACGGAATGGCTGGGCGCGTGAGCCATGGCCACTGAGCCTGCACGTCTGGAGCCTGTGTTCCACAACGGGAGAGGCCACAACAGTGAGAGGCCCGCATACTGCAAAAAAAAAAAAAAGTCATCGACCACAATGTTCATTGCAGCACTATTTACAATAGCCAGGACATGGACGCAACCTAAGTTTCCATCGAAAGATGAATGGATAAAGAAGATATGGTATATATATATATACAATGGAATATTACTCAGCCATAAAAGGAAACGAAATTGAGTTATTTTTAGTGACGTGGATGGACCTTGAGTCTGTCATACAGAGTGATGTAAATCAGAAATAGAAAAACAAATACCGTATGCTAACACATATATATGGAACCTAAAAAAAAAAAGAGGTCTTGAAGAAACTAGGGGCAGGACAGTAATAAAGACACAGACGGGGCTTCCCTGGTGGCGCTGTGGTTGAGAATCCACCTGCCAATGCAGGGGACACGGGTTCAAGCCCTGGTCTGGGAAGATCCCACATGCTGCGGAGCAACTAGGCCCGTGAACCACAACTACTGAGCCTGCGCGTCTGGAGCTTGTGCTCTACAACAAGAGAGGCCGCGATAGTGAGAGGCCCGCGCACCACGATGAAGAGTGGCCCCCGCTTGCCGCAACTAGAGAAAGCCCTCGTACAGAAACGAAAACCCAACACAGCGAAAAATAAATAAATACATAATTATAATAAAGCAGTTCTTTGAAAAAAAAAAAAGACACAGACGTAGAGAATAGACTTAAGGACACGAGTGGGGGGAGGGTAAGCTGGGACGAAGTGAAGGAGTGGTCTGGACATATATACACTACCAAATGTAAAATAGATAGCTAGTGGGAAGGAGCCGCATAGCACAGGGAGATTAGTTTGGTGCTTTGTGACCATTAGAGGGGTGGGATAGGGAGGGTGGGAGGGAGACGCTAGAGGGAGGGGATATAGGTATATATGCATGCATATAGCTGATTCACTTTGTTATAAAGCAGAAACTAACACACCATTGTAAAGCAATTATACTCCAATAAAGATGTTAAAAGAAAAAAGTCACCTTGGCTATGCCAATGCCTGAGTTAATGAGCTGAGAGAAGAAGAGGTCAAAAAGGAGAAACCTAAAGGCAATGTGAGTTGGGGGGTGAGACAGCTTCTGCTTTTCAGCACTTTCTCCGAAAACCTGGGTAGTTTTATTTCTCATTTGCTCAGCCATGTCTGCTCACTCTCTCCTCTACCTTGAGAGGTGACTGTTAGACATGCACGAGAGTAGAGCATGAAGGCCTCCAGATGAAGTAGACGCTGACAGGACACACTGAGTCCAAGTCGTTTGTTTTCTTTGACAGGGCTTTACCAGGCTGGATGGAAGAAGGAAAGACCATCAGTAAAGCAAATGGCTCAAGTGGAGTTATAAATCAACTCTGTACTCTTCAGAGCATTTATTCAACTGAAGACATATCCAGTTAAGGACCTTATAGCTTTTTCTTTCCTTTTTGCTTACATGGGGAAATAACAGTTAATATAGTTAAGTATCCCAAGGCAGAAGAGTATTGTTAAAAAAGAATACAATGTTATTGATTTCTCAAGACACCATCAGATATTTTAAGATTTGGATTTAATAAAACATAACATGATTTCTTTTATGGGATTTTTATGTTTTACCAATCTTTATCACCCTTGTGTGTTTCATATTTCAAAGTGAGAGTATCCCACTAAGATCAACTGGACGGATCCTGATCCAAGTTACAAAAACCCATGGCCTTTATAGCCACATTGTCCTTTTCCCCCAGTTATCTCTTTCTGTAGGCAGATAGCGTAGGGGGGTCCTTGGAGAAAGAGAGCCAAGCATGGCTTTCTTGACATAAGAGAAGCCATTTTAGGCCTAAGCCATTTGGTGATCTAAGTCTGGCCATAATGCTTGACTTTGAACAGGTCTCAGTAATAAATGATCTTAAGGGGACAAAAGAATTCAGAAACAAAGGACTGTTATCAGACGAGAGAAATAATAAGAGCAAAGATAATATGTCAGTTGTAAAGACTCCCAGTTCTCTTTCAGTGGTAAAGACTAACCTAAAGCTCTGTCTTGGCTGTTTTGCAGAATTTAAATCTCAACAACTGGATCAATTGGAATCTAAGGGATGATGACCTTTTCTGACCCTCATGACTTCAATCAACTAGAGCTTGGACTCTGTCATCCAAGCCCCTTCATGAATATGCATGTACCAATAGCTTAAACTTCCCCAGTTTCGCTGTTCAGAGAGCCACTTCTTTGGGAAAAATCCCTGGTATTCTCCTTACTTGCAGCAAGTAATAAGTCCTTCTCCAGCAATCTGGCTTGGTTGTGTCTTTTGGCGACACCACCAAGAGGCTAACCCAGTTTTCAGGTAACATTTCTACATAATTGAGCCTAATTTATACTTATTCATATTTTTCTATATACACAGCATTTATTATATATACATAGTAAAATGTGATACATTGTATAAGAGGAAAGATTTGAGTAGCAAGGATTCCTAAGCTGGTTTGGGGAGAGGGTGAAGAAAACTTAGGAAGTCATCTGAGCTGGACTTTAAAGCTTTTTAAAGGAGGACCGGACTTCCCTGGTGGCGCAGTGGTTGGGAGTCCGCCTGCCGATGCAGGGGACACAGGTTCGTGCCCCGGTCCGGGAAGATCCCACATGCCCCGGAGTGGCTGGGCCCGTGAGCCATGGCCGCTGAGCCTGTGTGTCCGGAGCCTGTGCTCCGCGGCGAGAGAGGCCACAGCGGTGAGAGGCCCGCGTACCACAAATAAATAAATAAAGAAAGGACGACCATGTCCGTTTGTTCTCCACTCTCTATGCATAGGAATTTTTCTGGTACAGCAAAAGGATGTGGAAGTGGAAAAAATAAATTGTTTGGAGCAGAAATAATAGATAGACATCCTTAAAGGAGGAGGAAGGACAGATTAACATTTACTTTTTTTGAGGCCCTAAAATGTGCTAAAAATGCTCTGTGAGTAGGATTGAAGGTAAATTTGAGGAATGGTGGTTAGTTGGTAAGTACGTCCACACCTGGCAGCTTCACAGTTTTCAGTTACATTCAAAAAGAGGTCATTTACTTGGAAAGAACCAGGTAGCTGGCAACATAATTGGGCTACAGCTGAAGCCCTTAAACCTCTAAACTACAATTTGTATGAGGAAATAAATTCCCTTTGTTATTTGCCACTGAAAGCAGCTGAGCTTTATGTCAGATAAGATACAGGTTAGAAGCAGAAGAAGTGACAAAGTCTCCCTGTTCTGCTCTAATGTGGTCTAAAGAATAAGGGCAATAGTAGCACCACCCTGGAACTTGTTAGAAAAAGCAAATTCTTGGGCCTGATCCCAGACCTACTAAATCTGTGGGGTGCACCCGGGCATCCTTAACAAGCTTTCCAGGTGACTTTTCAGCATGTTGAAATTTGAGAACCACTGCAGTCAGCTCCTTATTTGCATTTCTAACAAGCCACAGGTGTAGCTGATGGCCTTGGAAGGCAGACCAGCTTTTGAGTAGCACCTCTGAAATACTCTGTTCCCTGAGTGGACATTGAGACAAACACTTCAGAGCTTTGAGGGATGCCTATGAAGTTTTTCTCCTCATCAGAGGTAAGTTCTAACTGTCAACTAATTCAAGCTGGTTTCTTTCCAAAAGAAGAGGTGAAGCAAGCAGTTGGGAGAATATTTCTTCTTTGTATCAGCAGATCGGTGATAAAAGTGTATCCTATTGTTACCGAAAGTGGGGTCGGGGCTGCTTGCTGCTCTAAAGCCAGTGAAGAGGCAGGGGGCGGGGAGGGCGGATTCATGTCCGAAGGCCAACTCCTCCCCTGACGGCCAGTGGGCAACAGCTTTTAAAGGGGAGTTTAGAGGTGTATAGGTGGAGCGAGGGGGCTACATGCAGAAATAGCATGGTCAGCTCTGACAGTCATCTTGAAATTGTTCATTCGGTGATCTGATCAGCATCATCTTGATTGTTTTAAGTACAGTTAATCTTCAGTTCCAGGGTCAGTTTATTTCCATTTTTTGAGGCCAGTTCTCGGAATTGTGGCAGCTTATGTCATGGCTGCAGTCTAGGCATCACATAGTTAACTTCTTCCACCTGGTGCGCGTTTCAGTATCTACAAAACAGCTCAAGGATACGGCTCAGAATATCATCTATAATCTGTGAGGAGGAACTAAAGGTCCTTGACTTTGCTTAACGACCAAACTATTATTATTTTGTCTTGTTTGACTGCTTTCCTTTGTTTTTTGCATTTCCTCACCTCTCTGATTAAACTTATTTTTTGGCTCAAGTTTTTCTACAGACAAAAGGCAGGCTGAGGACGTGGTAGGGGGTGGGGAGGACCATGGCGTCCTGGTTTGTTTCACTGTAGGTTCTTTGGCTTTTAGCAGCAGTGTGGGTCTCTAATGATTTTAAATTAGGAAAGGGTATTTAGTGGAAGGATTCTGAATAGTTAGTTCACAGATAGAGGAATCAGTTCAACTTGTAACAGCAGCAATGTATGACCCTCCTCTTTTTAGTGCTGCTACTGGATAAATCAGTTACAACTATCTTGTGCTCTTGTGTGTCTTCACACAAGTGTGTAAGTGTGTCATTCCCAGTAGAAAAAGAGAGATTGCCCTAGCTTTGGGCCCCATGATCACCCATGTGTTCAAGAGAGCAGGGAACTACATGAATGTCAGACTTGTAAAAATCACATAGATGAAGCAGGCGAGATATTGTTCTTCGAAAGGAAGAGTTGCTGGACATACAAAAACACAGATGTCCACAATCATGTTTCTAATATAGACAGGTGAAGAAAAAGAGGCATGTATGCAATTAAAAGATTGTATAAGGAAGCCAAAAGCTGAGTTACAAGTGTGGACAAACAAAATGCCACCTGTCACATCAGTAAACAAAGGATGTTGACGCCTTCAAGCCATCAGCCGTGCAGCCACCCCCAATTGTGCACCCTGAGGGGGTTCAGGATGAAGAAAAACAGGATACTGGCCCCAGATGGTTAGGGTGCATATCAAAGGAATGATTTCAAGGAGCCCAGATTCTTGCATCTTCCCATACACAGAAAAGCACTAAATTCATTTACTTGAGATGTCTGGTTTTCTTTAATTAGCAGTAATCTTTTGATGTTCAACTACCTGTTTTTTTTTTGTTTGTTTGAACTCCTGTGTATCCTGGCTCCTCCCTTACCTCTTTGGAGCAGTCCCTCAGTGCTATCTGAGAGGCTGTCCTCTGGGCTTAAGTCCTCAGCAAGTTCGCTGAATAAAACATAATCAGGTTGTGCATTTCGCTTCAGTTGACATGAGAATGAAATTTGAGAAGCTATAATACGGATCTAATGGGATGTATGTACTTAATAAGCAACAAAAATGGTTAAAGAGCATATGGTAGTTATTGTGTATTCATGGCAGGTATGAGGCTTCTTTTATATAGAGCAGAGTTTCTCAGTATCAGTACAATTTATATTTATTATCTGTGCATTGTAAGATGTTTACTCATGGACTCTACTCATTAGATGCCAGTAGCACTCCTAGTTGCATTCGTGACGATCACAGATGTCTCCAGACATTGCCAAATGTCCCCTGGTCCAAAATTGCACTTGGTTTAGAACCACTGACTTAGAGATTTCAGATCTTTTGGAAAAGACATGATCCAATAAGTATGATTTTCAATCACTGTTGGGAAAAGGAAAGCTTGACATTGATCACAGGAGGCATGGATAAGTTGGCATGGCTGTTGGTAACTTTCTGCTGACTCATTTAGATGCAGGTGAATGTAAACATCTTTATCATTTAGGAGATGTCTTGTTTTTTCCAAAGCATGTATCGTATAAGGGAAGGATATGAAGGATAGCTTTAGCAAGATGGCTAACCATTTCTCACTCTTGCTGACTTATATCGGGATTAAAGACATCTGAAAATAGAATTCTTTCGGAAGTGTTGAGTAGGAAGTTAAAGGAAGTAAAGGGACTACAGATCCTAGGAGGTATTTTCAACGTATTTTTCTATCCATAAGATTTTAGAAGAGAAAAACTGTCTTGAAGTTGAACATTTGGCTACACAGATGGTATTGGCAATCATTTGGATTTCTGGACAGTAGCTTAAGTTACTGCAATAATGGCCTCTTGGATAATGTAGCTTGTCTCACTAAAGGGGGAACATTTGTTTGTCTGGAATAGTACTTCTCAAAGGGTAGTCTGCATCAGAATTATTGCCTAGAATACCAATTCCTGGGTCCTACCATAAACCTACTGAGCCCATTGGGAAAAGGGGATTGGAAGTCATTGAATTTGCAACTCTAAATTCATTCTACAGGTGCTCATTATGTACTGTGAGCTTTGAGAATTTATGGTCTACTAGATAGTTTATCTGTCAATTAAACAGCACCAAACCAGGGAGAGAGTGAGTGAAAATACATTGAGATAAAGTGAAGAAAGGAAAATATATCAAGTATCTGCTCATTAAAAAAAAAAAAAGTAATAAACAGGATAAAACCTATATATTAAATTATGAAATGGAGATTATTACCTTGGATAATAAATATTAATCTTATAAGGATTACTGAGACTTGCTGGGTTGAAACTCAAGATTGGAATATGGTGACTTAAGTGTGAGCCTTATTATTTTTTTTTAATGCTGGGATTTGGAGTTCTGTGTATCAAGAGTGTATACACTGTGGAAATCTGCCCATTAGATTTTAGAGTCCATTTTCATGAGGATGGCAGGAGAGAAACAGAGGTGTATCACAGTGGGTGCCCATTATAAGCATGAGGAACCAGCTACAGAAATGAACAACACATCTTGGCCAAGAAAGGACACAAAGCCAATGTGTAACATTTGTCAAAACACTCCGTTGGCTCAAAGAAGAGTTTCTGACAAATTCTTTCCTGACTTTTAGATAATTTCATTCTGGAGAAGAAGATAAAGTGTCTTGGGGAACTGATATTTGGGGCCTCAACATATAGGGAAAAGAAAGAGATTGGCCTTTGGGTAGAAGCTGCCAGGTTTGTTAGTTGATCTCATAGCCAGAGAAAGGAAGACAGCTGTCTGAAGTTTGCTTCAAGAAGTAGATTTCAAGAGGTTCAGAGAAAAAAAGTCATGACACAGCATCATGAAACATCTGGAAGGGAAGTCTACTAGAAAGATTGCAAAGCTCTCCAAAGAAGCAATTCACATTGTACAGTTGCAAGTCGCCTCAGTGAAGAACAACAGGACATAATTTTAAAAATCAGTGGCATTGTTTAGAGTGCTGAAGTGACCAGATTTTTCTAAAGTAGTAGTGTGTGGCAGAATAATTTATCAAACTATTAATTTGTTCACTTCTTATTTCTGCATTTCCCATTTCAAAAAAAAATGTTCAAGCTAATTCATTTCCTCATAAATTTTTTTCTAAATTGGGAAACAGAAGCTATGGTTCTTCTTTGTTCTCATGGTCCATTGTCTCATGTCCAACTAATGACCACCCTCCAGGAAGTTCCCCAGATCACAGAGGGAACGCCTGTGTAGTGCACCTAAAGAGCATGGATAGCAACCATTGTCATTACCCAAATTAGAAAAGATGCCTATGCCCCAGGGAATCAGGAGGGTGGGATCATGGGTTTTAGGTCAAGGAGCATCTCAGAAGTCATC